TAATACTGCAGTTAGTTAAATAGCAAAAAAATAAGGTAATTGCATGTGCCGATAATATAATCAGTTAAGCATTGAGGTGATGGTTAATTTATTATATGTTCTATTCAACTGTTGAGTTATATTTTTAACAACAATAATTTTGGGCTAAAAAGTAGACCTAGTCGTTTTTTTTAACCGGTTAAAAATAATAAAGCGATGAAGTAATTAATCAAATTTTTATTAGAATAGAATTTAGAATTTTTTTTAACATATCCCTTTCAATATAGTAAAATAATTTCTCTCTTCTTTTTTTGAGCATGCCATTAGTTTTTATCATTTAGCAAACTACAAAGTTTTCCAAATATTGAACCTTTTGTTAAATAAAAAAATATGAATTTACATATTTATCTATCCAACCAGTTATCCTTCAAATCTATATGAAGATAGCACGGTTCCAACATAATGACTTAATATGAAAAATTATCGCCAAAACAATATCCATTAAAAAAATGAAAATTACGATTATTTTTTATAATCCTGCATCCATTCATTTATAAAATCATTTTTCAATTACAATTTATCACGCTAAACTCCCTTCATTTTTGTTTAATGCTATCTCTTGACCTTGACCCTCATTCATCAAGTTCCTCCATTTTCCTTGAGATTTCCTCCTCCCCTTTTATATTCCCACTCAGGAAAGTAGTCAAAGCAAAGGGACACGGGGGACACCCGGGGGCATCCACTGCCTCCACTAATTTAAAAAAATTTAGCGTGCCTTTGCTAAAAATTTTCATAATAAATTAGGGGGCATGCATGTCCCATCTAAAATTATATATTATTTTTTATCATGAAATAAACATTATAAAATATTTTATAAACGAAACGGCGGTATATAAATGTAATTTTATATTTTTGATTCAAAAACGAACCTTTACCTATTTTAATTGGTTTTAAAAGAATAACCGATAGAATTAGGAAAATATAATTGCATCAGGTTTGTTACAATTTGCAATTGAAAATTACTCTCATGGTAGATGAGTCTATTACGTTTTTAAATAAACCAGCTTTGGTTGTTTATCAGCATTAGCATCATGATGATCCTATTTTTAAATTTCTAGACCTAATTGAATTGGTAAAAAGATGTAGAGTGGATAGTTCATACCTTACTGGTTCTTCTTAAATCCACTATGTTTTCGGGAAAACTTGTGCAAAATATTGGATTTCTATTGTTAGCGATGCACCCATAACTGGGAAAAAATCTGGTATAGTAAAGTTCTTTGCCTACTTCATCCAACCATCACCCTTTTAAATCAAGTTTAGAATAGATATCCGATGCTAAAAGTATTATAGGTCTTAATCAATTTAAAGCCTTATTTGACACAATTTAAAGTTTATATAGCCAGTCTAACAAAAATCAAAAGGCGTTGCATCAAATATCTCCTGAATTATTAATTCAGTTACTGAATATTGAAAGAGTAGTTGTCGTACTATGGGTTTCTAACAGTCTTCATACAATTATTTCAAATAACTAAAAAACCATGTATGTACGCATTTCAAAAATTGAGCAAATTCTAGTAATAGTGCAAATTTAACGGACTGTCCACCCGGTTAGAAAGTGGTAATTTCGCATCAGATCTCGCCTTGATGTATGATGTTCTATTTCATTTATCGAATCTATCTTTAAGACCTCAGAGAAGAACAATCAGTTTATCTAATGCTGTAAAATCTATAAAGTATACATTTCGTGTTATGAAATCAGTTAAGGATATGCATGTTTTTATCTTTCATAATTTCAAATGGATCTTTATTTCGCCGCCTGATATTATATCCACTTTTTGTCAAAAATGACTTTTACATAAATCCTTTTTTATAATTATACTATTCTATTTACACAAAAAGGAAAACAAAAGGCATTCTAGTATCAACGAAAATCAAACCATAATTGTCTTAATAATAGACAATATGTAAAATAGGTTATACCGATAATTTTAATAATTAAAGATACAATATTAAATTTTAAAGTCTTCGCTATCTTATCTGACATATAATATTTCGAAAAAGATAACTGGCTAGCAGACCCTCTCATTGGTTTTAAGGATAAATGAATTAAATGAATATGTTTCCAAATGAAGCTCGATGGGGATCTCAAAATAAATGGGATGAAGGAATATATAGATAATAGTAATCAAATTAATAAATGCCCCGTGAATTGAAAGAGTTTCAAAATTGTATTAGTCAAAACTGCTTAATTGCATATCGCCTAGGGGCAAATATATTTAAATTAAAAAAATTCTGCCATTCTGTTAAATTCTATAATGACATAATGTTAAAATATTTAATGCAAATCGGTTATTTGAGGAGAAATATCGGTTAAATGCGAAATATTTTAAGTTCCATTTATATGTAAATAATACTATATATATTGGATAATTGCGAAATGGTTATTACTTAATTGGAGATTTGCACTAAACTATTAAAAAATTATAATTTACATTAATCCAATTCTTGCAATCTGATGGGTTTTTCTTTTTATTTGAGGCTAGGCGCTTAATTATTAGGTATCACATAATTATTATTTTATGATAAAATTGTTATTTGAAAGAATATTTTCTAAAATAGACTCGAAACTATCACGATGCCTTACAAATAAACCATCAGCAACTAAGAAAATTAGTTTTCTGAAAAAAGAGTTAGAACTATTAATTTGGATTGCACAGATACGGAGCACCGCAAAGCATTTGATAAGGTAGTTCTAAATTTTATAAATATCTACAATTTTTACAATTCTAGGTGACTGCAGAGATTTAGAAAATGACAAAATATTAATTTCACGCAATCTGCAAAGAAAGAGGGAGCACCGATCTTGGAAAGTCTATTTTTTTTTATAAATAATAAAATTTATTTAATTTTCTAGAAAGGCCAGATAGTGCAGAAAGTGATTACTTGAATGATATTATAAAAGATATATCCAAACTTTATCACTTACATATCTCTTGTAATTAAAGTTATTTTGTTATAAATTTCGATGTAATGTCTAGAATATGTCAATATATTATTCGGATTTTGATAAAGATGAAATAAAAGATTCTTTTGTTCATTAAGTTACAAAATATATAATAATATAATAACCTCTCTTTGTCGTCATTTATAATACGCAAAGCATTATGGATGTGACATCTTTATCCAGTATTTATACGATAACTTGAAGGACCAAAAATCGCTAGAAGTCATTGAAGAAGGTCTATTTAAACATTCATTACAAATTATTTTAAATTGATTAATTTTATAAAAATTATTTATCTGTTTATATATTCAATATAAAAAAGGAAATATTATGTGTGTAATTTTAATTTTGCAATTCATAAATATTAAAATGTTTTCAAATAGAAATGAAAAACATTTCTTAGTGAGTAAAAATGGATTACCTATAATCACTCATTTGACTTATTCATAATTGATTGAATCTTATCTATTTAGCAGGTTCTACTTACATAAATTAAAGAATTATCATAAAAGGAAAATAAAATATCATGTGTGTAATTATAATTTTGCAATTCATAAATTAAATATTAAAAAGTTTTTTTAAATAAGAATTAAAAGCATTTTTCAGTGTGTAAAATTAGATTATCTACTATTCATTGATTTATTCATCATTGATTGATTCTGATTTATTTATCAGGGTCTACACCTTACGATAGGCAGTCTATAGTATAAATGTCATTGGTCTACACTCATGAATTGAATTAGCTTAGTTTTTTAAAGTAAGGTGTAAAAAAAATGCTATATTTCTTATTACAACTTTTAAGTTGCTTGGCTTTCTATATCAAATTTTTTTATAATTATTTACAAGAATGAATTTAAGACTTTTTATTAAGTGTTATAAAGATGTAAATATACATAACATTGAAAGAGGTAACACAAACATTTTTTTTTATATATAAAGTGTTTCTCTAAAATTATAGAATGTGTAAAATTTAGAAAAAATCTTCATAAGATTTGATTTGTGCAATTTATCTTATACTTATCAAAAATTATATTAAATTTTTTAAAAAGCATAAGGTAATATCCATATTAAACACAAATTGAGAAAAAATATTTTAATCATTTTGAATTTTTTTTAATAAACATAATATCTAAAATTTGATTGCTTTATAATATATGAAAATAATATATTATAAATAAACACAAAATTGTAAATTGGCTTATATTAAGAAATTATATTTAATCTATAATGGCAAAAAATCGGATAAGTACGAAAACAAAATACTTTTTTGTTTTGCAACTATTCTGTTTGCATGACTTTCAAATTATGAATGACTTTATTAAAGATTGCTTGCAAGTCTTATGGTTAAACATATTTTCCATTTAATGATGATAAACGTTAACGGGATCCTCTCAGTCATTCGAATTCCTCTCCATAAGTGCAATAATTTTATAAAAAATTGAATTGGGATAGTCAGTATTTTAAAAAAATATTAACTTTTTTAAGTTTATTGTTTTTTTTAATATTTATATATATAATACTTTTATTATGCTATCAAATATATATATTATAATAATATGTTATTAGAAGGTAAGTTATAATAATAGTGAAAAAAATATAATATTACTAAATCACAATTATAGAAAGTCATTAATTCTCGCTATTTTTTATTGATTGAGATTTCCCTTTTAGTGTGTGTTAACATAGTATTGTAGATTATTAATGAAATATTGTTTATTATTAGGGAGATATGTTTGTTATTATTAATCTTATTAATTAATTAAATGTTTTTATGGTTATGTTTTGACTATATGGGTGAATATTTTATATGAATAAGGTTGTATTTTATAATAAGACTTTACATCGCTATTTAAGGAACAAATTACATAGATGAAAAATAATTTTAATAAACTATATTAAACTCATTTGAGAATATATGTTAGCTATTAGTATATTCTTTTTAGAATACAATTACTTTAAACCATTGTTATTTTGAAGAAACGGTCAACATATAATATTTACATACTACCCATGAGAAACGTTATGTAATCAATATTCGGGGAAAAAGGTTCGGGAATATTGTCAAAACAGCTGTTATTACAATGAAACCTTATAAAAATCAGATCATATAATGGATGGTTCAACCCACGTTACACAAGGTCAGTTCAACATTTTTAAAATCTATAAAATACAATTATAATGTATATTTATTTTGATGATTTATTATTATGCTATATTGTAGTCATTACCAATCCAAAGAATGAGAATTTTCCAACCCCACTGGACAATTACCTTATCATTTTAAGCTAATAAAATCCCCCCATTTCCCTCAAGATGTATAAAATATATCACTATAAATTTGTAAGAAAAATAAGAAAAAGTTAATAATTTTTCAAAATAACTACTCTAATTCTAAATTATTATAAAAAAGCTTATTTATAAGGAGAGTGAAATCCCAAAATTAGTTTTATAAAAATATTACAAACCTTAAAACCTTCAATAAAAATTTATGGTAAAAACCTGTATAATAGTACTCCCTTCCCCCCCCCTTATCTGAAAATCTTGGATATGCCTATATGCTATATACTCGGAAATTTCTTATTAATTATAAAAATTTGCTATGATATATAATAAATCATAAAGAGTTGAAAGTATTGAAGAGAACTTAATGTTTTTAGTATCTTTTAATATTTTTGTCTGAAAAATTTATTACATAGTGAATTTATTTTTTTTGATTAATTAATTTATCAATGTGAAAGTAGGAGTTGTATAAATTGTATATAAAACTTTTTTAAGTGAAAAATTTGTTATAAACTATGAATCAATCTAAAAAGGGAATGGTATAGTATTGCTGAATCTGAAATTATCTATTGTATAAATTTGAAAATAAGTAATGTGTCATTGAAATTAGGAAGAGGGTGGTTTAAAGGGCTTGTTTTATTGAGAATTGACTTTGGGGATAGGAGTATAGAAGGCTGAGTTAATTAAGCCAGAGTAAAAAAATTATTATAAATTTTAATTTGACAATAATTGAGGTGAACATTGTATATTTATAAATATATAAGTTTACATGAATAGAAAGGCAACACTCTTATTACTCTTAAATATGTTGAACATACAATGAAGACACTAAGTTGAATTATTAGAGAAGATTAATAAAAATAAAATAGGTTTATTTTATTGACACCTTTTTCTGGGAGGGAGGTGGGGTTATCATTTTATTTATAGCATGGGGTTGGAAAATTTAAATATAAATTATATTTAAAATACACTATAACTGCCAATGTTAATGACAAATGAACTCTGTATATCAATATATGAAATAATTGCATATACATTATGAATTTAATTTTATGAATAAAGTCGAGTTTGGATAAAAATTTTTTAATACTTTAAATTTTTTTAAATTCAATATCAAAACAATAAAATTATTTAAATATCTTTGACCTTATCAAAAATGTCAAGACAATTTCAGAAAATTATAATAATAAATTTCTTTTTATAAAATTATAAATATGTTAATATAATAAAATCTGCCTAATATTATTTGAGTAATAAAGTTTTTAATTTAGTTTAAAAAAAGATTATTTCCCTATGAAAAATTTATCCCATTTTTATGAAATATTTGTATCAATAAACGAATGCATTGTTTAGAGAGAATGAAATTTAAAAATTATTTATTATTATTAGTAGTTGTTTTAAATTATATTGTTATCTTCTAGTCAACAATTATTTTTAAATGGAGATGTTCTGGGAGTTAAGAAAAAATGCATAATATTTGGTTTGGTCACATGACTCAGAGTTAGTATTAATGCAACTCGTCAATACCATGTGTTAAATCATACAACAACAAAATTGTATAACCTTTCTGCCATTTATGAGAATTTCACTCTATCTCTGAGGCATAATTAAAATGATATCTTAGAGTTTGCATACTACCTGAAGCAAAATTCTAGAGTTTGCCGAGATGAGATTATTATTAAAAAGTAATTAATTACTAATTGATTTATTTATTGGAATTGTGTATTCTTGATTATTCTGCTCAGATGCTACAATGGAGTGACTAGACTATGCACTAAAAATAAAGGACACAGCCTTCACATTTATAAAATAGCTTCAACCCGCAAAATCATCATATATTTTTCGGAAGTTGAATATTATATTAGACTATGATATCTTTTTTGGATATATATAGTATATCACAGATTTTATAAAATATTAATTCATTAATTTAAAAAAATTTCTTATTAGGGAAGTTGAAAATTTAAACCCTACCATAGCAAATTTTAATGATTTATTCTTTTTTAGATTTTGATTCTGCTGTCATATTAATAACAATCGAATTTCCTTTTATTTAGATTCCTTTTTATAAAATCCATTCATTCTGGCACCATCTTAAGCTCTTTAATAGCGTCTTATCATTCACCAAATTCTGCCTTTACCAATATAAAATTCGCTTTCCTTCCATCACTAAGACGTCTACACCCTCCCCCCCCCCTATATATTATGATTTTCTTGCCAACATAATAATATATTAATAAGTATAAGTAAAAAATAATAATTTAAAGCAAATATTAAAATACAATTTACATACATAAACTTTTTAGACATGTTCAAATAATTTTGAAACGTGATGAGCAGAGCCCCTCTTACATAATATACTCATCGGGGGTAGGAGCAATTTACCTTATATCTCTTTCAAGGCATAGGAGTAAAATATTTTTTGTGATAGGAAGTACAACTTTATCATTTCCATCAATTTTTCTTAAATTCTCTATTCGCAACTCCCTACCTTTATGGGAGACATTGTTATCAGCATTCTATTTTCATTGCTCATGTCCTAAATTATACCAATCCAATTTATTTCAACATTCCGAATGACCAACAGATCTTCTTCTTCCATTTGTTTTAAACATTAAAACCAAACCTTTTTATTAAACTTTTTTCTCCCAGTCCTAATTATCGGTTATGATACCCGATGTCCAACTTTATTAAATTTTATGCGTTATTATAAAAATATTAGAAAGTAATCATTGTTCCACGGGTAGCTCAGAATTTAGGTAAAATCTCACCATTCTGATTTGAAGTCAAGTGGGAAAGTTTTTTCTCCAAAAACCCATATCCACGAATATGCTAGAGAATTGGGGAGGGTATAGTGATACGGGTTTATATTTATTAAAATGGGTGTTGTTCTATTTAATAAAATTAGGTTGTTGTTTATCAAATTGCTGTACTATGCCCGTTATAAATATTCCCCATTGGCCTATTCAAAAACGAATACGAATCGAATAATGCATTATTCGATAATTTACTATTTGTATCCGATTCATATTATAAAATAATTCATGCGAAAAATGCATTGATAAATTTTTTTTATTGCACATCTAATTTTAAACAGGAAAAATGTTAATAATAATCTGATGTTAAAGAACATGAGATAAAGTTATTAACTAAATTAATAATGCAGATTAATTTAATCTACCAAGCCAATTTTTAATGGCAAAGGGTTTTTTCTTAAGACATGCGATTTTTTGACAACAAATTAGATTCATTTAAGAAAAGTCTTTCACAAGCAGTTGATGTGTACCTTGATAATAACATAATCTGTCATATTGATAGGTTATCAATAGAAATGACAAATGATTAAACTTAAAAAAACATGTTAATAAATAATTCGATTCGAATACAACAAATTATTTATTTATCGAATATCCAAATTATTTGAATAATTAAATAGGCCTATTACTTCCCTAAATATTACCATATCTTACCTACCATCTAAAAGTATATTCTTATAAAAATAATTTCATTTTAAATTATCTTTAAAGTTTTTTTAAAATATTTTTACAGATGCTTGTTCTGATATAAAATAATTAAATGTTGTGAAACGATTTTTTTTCATCAATTTTAATTTTACCAACCAAATTCTTATATAAATATGAATCTTTCCTTGTGTAATTAAATTACGTGATTTATTTAGCAAACAAAAACATACTAGTTAATTAAAATATTTTACATAAAGGTAAAGTTAAAAAATTTTGGCTAAATTTTTTAAAAAAAATTATTTTTAAAATTAAATCTAAATTTAAAATGCAAGTAATTTTATATATATAAAACTATATATATTTTTTTTTATTTGTATGAAATATCATCTCTCAATAAAATGATTCTAGTGGGACCTCGGTCCGGGTTTCGCACTGGAAAAGCCATGAAACAATTTAGCTTGGACTTGCTAATTCTTTTGTGCAGTAAGCTTTTAAACTATTTTTTAAATATATATTTAGATTGAATAATTTCTTCTATTCCTATTTAAATGATAATTGAGGTGAACGGGGAAAAAATGAGAGAGAAATAGCACAAATTATATATTTTTTTTTTACTAAAAATTTAAGATTTCACTGGAAAAATATTAAATTACTCAAGGTCTAACTCACAGATCTTATCAGATAATATCAGATAATCTAATTATAATATATACTTACAAATTATAATTTTATATTGTTACTATTATCCCCCCCCCTCACTTCCTCTACAAAAAAAATTGAAAATAAATAATCAGAAGTTATCATTATCATTTTGAGGTATACTACTAAAAATATTAGCGGATATTTAAGATTATAGATTTACATTTAACTCTGGCGGGCAGCCAGCATCTTTAAACGTAAAGTCCAATTTGTGTTGGCATAGAATAACATATTTTGCTAGCTGGTAAAATATAAACGGAATAAGTTATCATAATTACCTTACACACTTTATAATACTGCAGAATCGTGCTTGGCCTTATAAAGCCTCATCATATGAGTGAGTGAAAAATGCATAAAAAAGATTCATAATTAGGATAACGTCTAAAATTATTTGATTTGGGCTGGACAAAAAAAATTAAAAGATTCTGCTTGCAAAAAAGTGGGCAAAAAAGAAAATTCCAAGCCGGCTCGAAAATTTTGCCATTGTAGACTTGTAATATGGACCCTAGGCGGGTTCAGACTCCTTTCAGAAAAAAATACCGATTAAGTTCTCGTTAGCAAAATTTTCCGCTAAATATAGCGCAAAATTTATGAACCATAAATATCGGGATCATTTATAATTTTATTTATATTTTTACAAAAAAACAATTAATTTAAGTGATCACTGTACCCATCACACTTTTCAAGATTGGTAAGCCCACTAACCGCGGATTTTTTTGCGACGACCAGACCCTTGATTACCCGTACCAAGAATCCACTATAAGCACCGCTGTTATGGTCATTTACACCTTATTAATTCCCATTATCTCGGTTAAATATTTGATAGTCTCTTTTTTTTGTTGGGCTCAAGTATCACATGGCCCTCGACCAAAATCAATTTTCAAAAACCACAAAATATTGACTTATTTTTAATATTAAAAAATAAGAGTTTTTGTTTCTCTTAATATAATATAACTTTTGATTTAACAATATTTATTAAGTAGATAGAAATCTTTGCGTCGATGATTATCGGCAAGCCCCTAATTTAAAATATAATCAAAAAAATTACATAGCTTTACGCGATAATTTCGTTCCCGTTGAAGGAATCGATGTCATGTAACATTGTTTTAATAGTGTTAATAAATATAATATAAATTTGCTATAAACTGTTTCTATGGGAACACATTTTATCTGAAAATGAGAATGATTGCATTTTTATAATATATATTAAATTGCTAATCAAAAAAAATATTACCTAATAAGGAAAATAGTTTATAAAATCAGATTGAATATCAATGGATTGAATGAAACGACAAAAAAAATCCATTGTAACAAAAATAACAGTTGTAAACGTTTAAAAAAGTGTTTTTTTTTTGTTTATAGAAATATTAAAATATATTCCTATTAATAATAATTTTGTAAAGTTTAAAAAAAATTAACTTTTAAAAAAGTTGCCCATTAAAATTCCAAAACTTAAGCGCCTACTCTGTTATTGTCGCTAAATGCATTATCATGATTTTTTCCTTGGTTTCGTAATTTTTGTTCAATCCTCAAAGGAAATATCTTTAGCTAACCTTATTATTGCTATTTCCACCTTTCATAACAAAGAATGTTTAACAAAATGTATTATAAATAGTTTAATATATTCTTTATTAACCCAATCATAGCGCGTTGGTTAATAAAATGGTACCCCATCTATATTTTGAAATCATCATGTGAAAATAATGATTATTGTTATTATAATACTGAGCCTCCCTAAATCTAATACTAATCATTAAAAATATTTTCGGGTCGATGGAGGCTATTATAAATTAACGGCACAACAGTTCACATTTTTTTTAACGGCCGGCGGTCTTAGTTTATAATCAAAGAATTTATTTAAATAAATCCTTTGTTTTATTTTGTTTTCCTTTTACGTTTATTTAAACTATAGTTTTTTATAATTAAAAATTATTTTTTTTAGATCCCTTTATACGAAGCTCTCGGTTATCATCGCAACATTGTAACTCACACTAAAACATTGGAAAATAAGCACAAATATAAGATGAATTTCTTGTTCAACGTTTATCACAACATATGGCTATTTATTTTCGGTTACGCCCTCACCCAGACTACCATTGGTACATACAATTAATTGCCTTGCAAATCGCACTTTTTATCTTCAAATTTTTTATTTGTAAATAATCTAAAGAAATTATAGTCATATAAATCGTAAGTTGCCATTTGGATTAATTTGGGTTTTAGAAGCCTAATTATACACGGTTGTGCCATTAAGGATGAGAAAATGGGCTCAGAATTAATGAAAGTAAAAAAACTAAACCCCGTTCCTAGGTCCGCTAGTTTTTGACCGGACTTCTACTCAATAGCGGACCAATTAATCAAAAGCTCGATATAACCTTATAAAATTATTTTTATAATTTTTTTATCTTAAAATAAATAAGATATTGCTAAATATTCGATCGGTCGCCTTAGGCCTCATTTCTTCGATCTATGCAAGCCTAATTTTTATCAAAAGTGCAATCCTCATATTTTTATCAGAAATTACACGTGTACCAGTGGGACTTCGTTTCGTATACGAGAAGTCAAGTATATAAAACAAATCTTATTTTGACTGATTAAATTTCTATAATGATAGTCGTTGCTAGCTTTTTCAACCTGATAAGGCTTATTTTTTATCCTTTTTTTTCTACAAAATTAGCAAAAAGAACATGAAAATATTTTTCATAATCAAAAAAGTTCAGTAGGCTTTGACCCTCTTCACTTCCCCCCCCCCCACTACTCTGTATTAGTGATCTGCATCGGGCCTAAAGCCCGAACCGGCCCGAAATTTTTTTAAAAAGTTTTGCCGGCCCGAACACGAAATTATTTTTAAAAAAATTTACCGACCTGGCCCGGCCCGAATTTATTTAAATATAGAAACTAATTTTTATAATTATTCAAAATAAAAGACATATGTTATATGTCGTTTAGTTTCAATAAATAAAATCAAATATTTTTATTTTACATAAAAAATTCAATATAAATATTTAAAAAAAAATTCCAAGGTCCGACCAGACCCAGCCCAAATTTTCTTTTAAAATATTACGCCCGGCCCGAACCTAATTATTTTAAATAAAATTAGGCCCAAAGCCCGTTTGGGCCGGGTCTAACTTTGCAGATCTCTAGTTGGAATAATTCATATAAAGATATGGAGTGAAGAGATGGTCACATTGGAGGAATTTCACGATAGCATATAAATAAGATATTATCTATATTAATTTGATTATCTCGTTAATTATTAAAAACGTAATTAAATAATTAATTTTTTTGTTCTATGAATTTTTTATTTGGCAATAAATATAAAATATACCATATATAAATTATTATTTTTACACAGCGACTTTTTTTTCTTGCTGAAATCATAAAAAAAGATAAATATTTTAATGTTAGTTATTTTTTTATATATTTCTAAATTATATGAATTTTCTTATTTCTAAAATTTTTCCTAAAAATAACTTTTCAAAATAGTTTAGAGAAATTGATTTATTTATTCCTTTTCAAGGTAATTCTTTTTAACGCTCTATCACTATATTATAGATAATAACGGAATGGTTAATGAACTTTCTATAATTATGCTATTTAACTTGTATGAAGTATTTTTATGTAAGGAAAAGTAAAAATATCTATAAGTTTTATATAAGGTATAAGCAGAGCTGAGTATAATTGTATCTAATTCACATTTTTTTTGTATCTTGTATATTATATCTTTTTAATATTTTTATAAGATACTTATATCTGATTCTAAGATACTTTATATTTAAAAGGATTATATAACTTTACCATTTTTTAAAAAAAGAAAGAGTACAGATGCAGATATCTTTTTATATTTTTATTTAAAAAATTTAATATTCGCTTTTAACATTTTGTTCCCGCGTATTCTTACATCGATTTTTTTGTTTTTCTTTCTTTCTCATCTTTATATTTTGAATTAATATATTTATTTTTCATTATTATTTTATATTTTGTTTTATGCAAATTAGACAATTCAATTTTATGAATTCTTGTCCATATTTATTTATATTAATCATTATTAAAATAATCATCTTATTTTATAGGGTAAAATATATTTATATTTCACCGTCCAATTTGGAATGCTCTTGGACACAGTATACTTGATATAAAATATAGTGATATAAAATATAGTAATATATACATAATTTCTATTTATTGATTGTATTTGTTTAAACATAAAATAACAATGATATCATTTTTGTTTAATTATATTTATATTTTTTATTATGGTCGACAAATATCATGTGTTTGTATCTTAGAATTTAAAAAAAGTTCTAGACGATTTGAAAAATTTAGGGACAGTTCCTTTTGAGCTATAAACTTGCATTAAGGATACATTTTTTTTTATAAAGAAGAACCTGTATCTAAATTTTATTTTTTTATTACAGGCTCATGACAATTTATAAAAAATTATTTTACTGACCGGGCCAAAAAACCTTTTCAAAAATTTCCAAGGACAAGGATAATAATGGCGATTTAAAATATTCGGCCTGGCCCAGGTATGTTTAAAAAAGATACGGGCCTGGCTTGGAGCCGGGCTGGCTTGTCTCTGATAAATATCTAGTATTTCCTCCTTTAACAAAATTCTTATTAAGTAAATAAGGACGCGAGTAAAGAAGGGTTTAGATTACTTTTAATACCTCCAACCCAACGCAGTGTTAGGAAAAGGAGAGCTGTATTGACCTGAATATGAATGATTAATGCTTTAATTTATTTCTGCACAGAAAATAATAGCGCTGGTTTTTTTTTAAAAAAAATTATTGATTTTTTGTCAAATAAAATGATATGATTTTTACACCAACGAAAATATTAATAAAAAATCGATATATCAGTAGAGAATCTAAATATATGTAGAAAATAAGTTGAATTTTTGTCCAGTTTCATTAAACAAAAATATCTATAGTGACCATAACACTTACAGCTCACATCAATCCTATATTTAATTTACTTGAAACGGATGTAGCAACCTTTTCTGAATGATTGTTATATTTTATCTTCTTTCAATAAATTCTTTAATCTTTTCGCTAAAAGACTTTCGTTTGTGTCGGGTCACGCCGCTCTAGCTTGTTATTCCTTCGTGTTCTTAGCCTATTTCCTGCAAGTTCACGAGGCCACCAGGAGGTATACCATAACAAAAGCTATCTTGCAGGCTGTCTATTTTTGGATAGCGCTTTATACCTCTTATACAAGGGTATCGGACTTCAAGCATCACTGGAGTGACGTTTTCGCTGGCGCCCTTTTTGGATCCCTTACAGCCATTTTAATAGTATATGATGCAAAGAGTTCGATCCCGAATTCGTTTTTAGAAATTTACAATAGTCTGGTTGGACATTTTTGAAACAGACCAAACAGGGAACTGATTTATCTATAACTTATCGAATTCGTGGGATCGGATTCCTTTTTAAAAAATCAGTTTTTAATGAGTGTTACAAAATTTCCACTAGAACTCAAATTCGGGTTCGAACCTCAAATTTGGTGATCCTTTAAAAAAATTTATTCTCTACCTACGAATTCAGTGTCTTGGATCTTAATAAGATCAGATATTTAGAAATTATTGTGGGTTGATATAAGATCATCCTAGATTCTAGTTGGTAAATAGTTTTAATTGGAATCCAAATTATCAATAAAACATGTTATTTAATACTTTTATATAGATAATTGTAATATAATTACATTACTTTATTTTCCTTAAATAGATGAGATACATCTATACAGATAAATACAATACGAGATGTCGACGGCTAAGTGATGCATGTCAACGTGATATGGATAACAGGGAATTTACCAAAATGGACACTGTTTAATTTAAGTTATATTCCAGGAAAAAAAATGTTGCAATATTTTCACTCCTTATGAAGAATTATATTTTAATACAAGTATCACCCTCATAAATAAAGCTTTTACGATATCATACAATCAACATCTCCTAATTATAAAATTATACTAGAACGATTATTATGTTTATAAGTATTTTAGTAAGTGTTAACATCAGAACTTATGACTTAATCTAGAATATTTTTTTTTTAAATTTATTTATTTTTATATTGATTAAAAAATTCTTAATAGGACCTAACCTTAATGCTTATGTAAATATTTTAATTAAACAATGATTGTGACCTTTATCTTGCTTATAATAATTACTTTAATCGCTCTATAGATCTGTGTAAAGCTTTGGTCCACTTCTTTAAATGCGTTTAAAAAGGCTTTCGATATTTAAAGATAAAGATAAAATTCGCACCGTTTTTCCTGATAAGAAGTGGACCAATACATTTTTTTAGGTTAAATTTTTTTAAAACTTTTTTTTTATACATAGTCAACCAATCATTAGGTAACATTATGATTCATATGTATTAAATTTTGTAAGAAAATAATAATAATATACGATATAAGCATTAATTTTTAAATTATCGATGTAATTTTTAATATAAAATATCTGTTTTTGAATTTTTATTATATATTTTTATAATTATATCAAAAATCAACATCTTTTTATAGCTCTGATTTTACGAATCATTTCGAATAATATTCGTATCAATATAATCCATAATTGATCCTGTCATACGAATATTAATTTGAAAGAATTATATTTGAATAATTTTTGCTTTGCTGCTATAATGCTAAATTTGGATTGCCAAAGGTCTTATTAGAATTTTAAGCTTAAAAAGAACATCCGTTATAAAAATGTCCATAAATTTATTTACCCAAGAACGACCTTATGATATCATAAATATAACCCATTATTATCATAAAATTCGGTCATGTCGTCATTAGAGTATTTTAATGTTTAATATCCATTTTATTTTTACAAAATACACATTTTTTTCGATAAATCAAATCCTTCTTATTCTTCCATAATATAAATCTGTTAAAATATAATTTAAGAATTCTTTATTTGAATTTTAATAATGTGATCTCCTATCTGAAAGGCGAGAAATATATTTTTTTTAAATGCTCCTCTGAAAAATTATTAAAAATTAAATGTAGAACAATAAAATACTAAGCAGACAATATATTAATATAATTTATACGTGGCTAGAAACAACTTATTTAAAAAAGGATACTCACGTTATGCCAGTTTAAAAATTTTTTAAAGATATAATTGGTAAAAAAAACTATATTAATTGGAATAATATTTTTCGCCAACCATTCTTAAATCTTTTAACAAAAAACTATACTAGGCACTAATGAATCTTGCAAAATTAGGATTAACGCCTTCTCCTCTTCTAGTGCATAATTAACGATCTCTGTATAAAGAAATTACAAATGTTCACATTTAAATTTGCAATATTTTAAAATACTATGTATAAGTTTATTTTTTTTAAAGAATTTTTTTATGGACATGATATTAGTAATAGATACCCTCAGAATCATTTTTTCAGCCAAAGTTGGATGCCTGCGTGGCAAAATTTTTTTAGATATAAACCTGGCATGATCCACTTTTTATAAAAATCACTTATAGGTGAGAAAAGATAATTTGAAATATTTGTTTTATTCTTTATGCATTAAATTTTTTAAATATTCCGCGGCTTGATAAAAAAATCAGTATGAAATATTATCATCTAATTTTTTTTTTTTGAATTTTATTATTTTTTCTTCAAAAATTATATATTTGGGGAATTCAATCAGGCACAAAAAGGAAGAAAATATGGCATTAATATTTTGGGCCGACGGGCTTGCCCTGCAGCACTAACAGTTTAACTTTGATTCCCATTCCAATATAACATATTTTAATATTCTTTTAAAGTTTTAAATGTAAGTTCTATATATGGCAAATTTTAGTGTTCGAACGCTGTTGTAATGGAGATCTAACGATATTTATATTTGTTCAAAATAATTTTAAAATAAACACTCGATTTTATTAAAATATCCAAGAGATATCACACCGGTATATGACTTTTCCTAATTTGATTTAGCGCATATCCAACGGTAAATTAACCATAGACCCGCTGCTGAAAGTGTAATTGAAGAGAAACAAGTCGGAACCATATATGAGTTCGAAACGTGAAACGGATTCCGTGGTCAGCCTCCTTAAATAACGATTTATCATATGGGATGTACGTCTATTTCCAACGTGATGTTGAGGCATGGGGGGAAATTGTACTTTATGAATCAGCCTGGCCTTTTTTAGAATATGATTGGCATCTATTTCTAAGGTTTCATATCTACCCACAACATCGTAGTTTATAGCACACGGATGGCACATGGCGTAAGCCGATTTCCAGTGCTCGTTTAATCCTCTCTGCCCATAATCGTCGTATGAATCTGATAGGTAACTTACGAATTCTTGGAAGGTAACGTCATGACCCCTTGTTTAAAAAATAAAAAATATATCGTAATTTTTTAAAATATGAAGAAAATTTACGTATCCAAAAAAATGAATTAAAAGGCAATTATATTAAATAATATTTCAAATTCGTAAAAATTCCCGATGCATTAATTTAAAAATAAAATGTTTGGCTTTTTATCTATTAATATGAAATCGTTGATAGCTAAAATTATATTATTGATATTCAAGTTATCAGTGTTGTTAATCGCCACTTTTAAAAGTAGCACGGTACCGCTAACGCTATTTGGCAAAAAAGTAAAGTAACATTCTATTAGCTCCTTTTTAATAAGAATTACGCTATTTTATATATGAAAAAAAAATATATTTTTTATATATCTAATCTATATCCATAAAATTAAGATTTCTCCCAACATGTAAAAATATTGATATAAATATATGAAAAATGTAAAATATGTGCACTATTTATTTTATCATAATAAAAATCGCTATATTATCATCTCCATGTTTAGAGTGGGGATGAGAAGGTATTGCCTTACTAAATAATTGTAGCACTTGTGGATAATGCGATATTTAATTTTCTAAACTTTTTATTTAAGAAAAATGCTCATTTGAGAATTTTATATCGAAAAATGGGTCAAGTCTATTTATTATCTAATGTATCTTCGTTGGGTATTAAATTAATCAACGTCACCAATTCTTCCCAATTAAGTTAGTATAAGATCAGAACATTACTTTATTTTACCTTTCATGTGTCCCAACAATCTGCTGTTGTGGAAATGTAAGAGGAGTCTGATAAAATAAAATTTAAGACTTTCATTTTTTGAAAAAAATCAAAATTTATGCCATTCTTGTGAGAAGAATACGTAGTACCAAATGAATGTAATCAAATTAATAAATAAGGAATTATCCACCAAGAAATTGGCTGAATTGTAACAATTATAAAGCTAATTTTTGAATTCTGTTGTAAGATCAGATGCGTAGCCAGGAATTTAATATAGAACGGTGATAAATTTATTCGAAATAATTTCTTTTGGAACATTAAAAATTTATTATAACCCCAATCATTAAAAATTACAATTTCGAACACAAATAAACCTTATATTTTTTTCGAAAATCTATGCTACGGTTCACGTTGGATACGGGTCTGTGTAAGATTAATCAATTTAATTTGGATTAAATTTGTATTATCTCGAGATTTCTTTCATTCTCTGAAATTTTAGGTGTAGAAATTCTAAATTTTAAACAGTAGAAGATAATTTTATTTAGATTATGAATAGTGCCTTCATATTGTTTTAAGTTAAAGTTACTTGATTTTTTTAATGTTGTCTTTCTCTAGTTTATGCATCTAATATTTAATCCTATATTAATTTTTTTTTTATTAAGCTCAAAATATTTTGCGAATTTAGAGAAATGTAATTTCATATTATCATTTTCTTTAGCGAAATTTTATGGTTATTATTGTCTCAAAAATTATCTTCCATGCTATCTCTTTAGGCGGCATTTTATATTTTAAATGACACGATAAATTAAATCTAGAAAGTATTTTTTGAAAAATAAATTCCAATCAAAGATTCATAATATAAAATTAATTATTAAATTATAAATAAATTTTATTTTATTTTTTATTAGATTTATATAAAATTTTATTTTATTTTTTATTAGATTTATATAAAATTTTAAAGTAGCTAAGTATAGCCTCTAAAAATTTTCAAAGTAACGCGCTATTACGCTACTAAAATAAGTAACGAGATACTTTAACAACTGCTAGTCATTAAAACAAAAAATTATCATTTACTATCGCCATGATTAAATTAAATATAGATATTATTTGACTTTTTTTAACCTTTCCAAAGATCTTTTTGAAGGGGATTTCCTATATTTTTTTATAATTTTTATACCGAACGTCTTTTGAAAATATTCACTGTAGCTCATTTCAAACTTATCCCTAAACGCTGATATCACCCTTTCAATGGGGTCTCTAACAACGACATATGTTAAGTATTTTGATAATCTGAACTTGATCTCCGACATATTAAGGCTGTTTAAAAATTGGAAATTTTCTCTGCTATGAGTTTGATCCGGTCTTATATCCAATGGGGTCGGTCCACCTTTTCCCGATAGCACCAATAAGACCCTTTTCCAATTTGTGCAAGCCACTTTTGGCACGTAACAGTATATGAGTTTATTGAGGTCGTCATAAATAAAATTTTTAAAATCACGTGGGTTCATATCATTCACTGAAAAATAGAGTTGATTTTTAGTGTTTTCGTACAATAGATCTTTTTCGAATTCTACCAACTGAGCTCCATCAACAGGCATAGCGTTATAATCGTAATTGTATAATTTTACGCAATTTCTTTTGAGATTTAAAACTCTTTGCTTATGAATCTCTTCTAGATCGTCCTGTGAAATTTGAGCTATTTCGGTAGTAGACATAGTTGTATTCTAAAAAAAAAATTAAATTGATTAATATAGGTAAAAATAAATTGTAATATATAATATAATTGAATATGAACTAGTACTTGTGGCGGTCCAAATATATTGTATAAAGGGTTCTTCAGGTCAATTCTGCCTAATTTATATTTATAGATATAAAATGAAAGGATATAAGAAAGAATAAAAAAAATTAATTTTTTTTTTAAAGAATAAATAAGTAAAACTTTATAGGAATGTAGAAAATGTGCGATATTTCAAATAATGGCAGATTAATAATAAGCGTTAAAGGAAAATAGAAATTTATTCCAAAAAATTAATACAAACGTTTGGAAAACAATAAAATTTTGCCGAGGTCCGATTCTGCCCTGAATTAAAATTTTTAAATCAAGGTTCAACGGAGTCCTAGAGATTGGTAGTCCAAGTCCAACCCTCCTGAGTGGAAAAGCGTGATGGGAATAGGATAGATTAATATAGAATATTATCTTGTGATCATGAATAGTATACCTTCAATTTATTACCCTGATAAATTTTCTTTTTCAGTAAGCTTAATTTTTAATATCACATGTCTAAGTCTCATTCGCCATTTTTTTTCAACTTCCGTAGCTAACCTCCTATATAAAAAAAAATAGATCCCGAACTTATAATATCCCGTTTTTTTAGCCAATACAAAACATTTTTCATAACGAATCTATTCATGGGTACAATTACTGGACAATTAATACTTTTTCCAATTTTTCATCACCTTTATTTTGTGAAATATACCTTAAAATTCTTATTACATCAGATATTAATAGTAAGGAAGGTTTTCTTTAATTTATTTCCTATTGAAATATATTCTCTTTGTTCATTTTATACCATTCCCTATCTGAATTATTTTATTCTCGTATCGATATCTGGACTTGTGCCCGCATCACTTTGTCGGTCATTTTTGACCATGAAAATACAAAAAAGTTGGTAATATCTAATCGGCGGGTTTGATAGAACATTCAGTATTTTTATTTCGGAATTAAAAATATTCTATTCTTTTGAAAAATCATTATTTATAATAATTATGGATGAAAATTTTTTGCATTGATTAATATAAATGGAATATCTAAAAGAAAAATATCACCAGTATACAATAACACACTCTACCTTTCTATAGCATTACGTGATAAAGTAGCATTGTATAAAACACAGGTGTGACAGATACATAATTTATTAAGAATTTATCTACTAAAAATTTATTCCTTCATCATAAAAAATTTAAGAAACAAGGTATATTAATTAGTTTAGAAGAAGAGTGTAATTTATTATTCTTCCCTCACATCTCCTTTAGAAGATGTATTCATTTGGGGGGGAGGGGGGATTGAAACTTCCTAATTCCTATTAAAATTTCTGCTTTATGCATATCCATTGCTCATGTTTTTCATAACTGTGCTCATTTCTCGGGAAGATCTACCCTAGGCCCTTCTATGATTAAAATAATTATATAAATGATAATTATAATTAATTTAAATGGATGTTATGATTTGACATAAGCGCAGCTAGGATTTTGTTAAGGAGGGGGGGGGGGGCACTATTGTGGATTTTTTCCGTAATTTTTTTTGGAGGTCTTCAGGTTCACAAATGTTAAGCATATTAGTTGCCCTCATATTAGAAGAAGCACAGAGTAGTTCTAAAGTTCATGGCATTGTTATAAATTCACAATATGGGTACTTAATAGATGCAGGAATAAATTTTCGCCGATCAAATAGCTCTCAATAAATGATTTAAAATTGAAAGATACCGAATCACCATGAAATCAATACCCCGAACGACATATATATCTCTATTCTATGTTCCCATCGATTTTTAAGGCTTAGGGGAGACCAAGGTTATATTGCTCATAAAAAAATGAAGTTCTATAAATAAAAGATGCTGCAAATTTCCAAAATGTTTAGATGCATATTTAAGAATTATGAAAAACACCCTAGGTACCTATTATCCTTTCACGTTGCTTATCATAGCGCCTCTTTATTTTTAGATTTAAGTTAAGGTAAAAAATTGATAAGTTACTACTGACATGTTTAAAATAAATTTGTATTTAAAACATTTCATGAGCACATTTCAACGAAATTTTTTTAGAACCATTGAAGCCTCTTATTATAATACATTTATGGTTTAAATTACAAATATCAAGTTTTAAAATTATTTGGCAAGAAATTACTTGCTCCAGGATCCCCGGTAGAGAATGCGAATCACGACCCAGCCATAATTGGTTTCGGGTCTAGTCGAGTATATTTTTTAAAAATAATTTCGGCCCGAGCTAGGTCAAACCTAATATTTTTTAAAATGTTTCGGGCCAGACCGGGTCGGGCTGTCAAATAAATTGGTATATTTTAAAATTCTTGCAAGAAACAAGGCGCTATTATTTCTTTTACAAAAAAAAAAGTTAAATTTTTCTATATTTAAATAATTTCAGGCCGGGCCCGGTGAACAAGTGATTTTTATTTCGGGTGGGCTTTTCGGGATAAAAAATATTTTTTTCTAATCAAGATCGGGCATGCAGGTTAAATTTTTTTAAAAAAAAATTTGGGCCTGGCCGGGGAAAAGTTAGACCCGATTCAGGTCACTAACCCATTTCTCACTTACATCCAAACTCAAAAAAAATTAATGGTTTGCATAATTTAACATTTATCTGTCCAATGGAGTTGGTAAGGTCAAAATAAGTAAATATTTTATTCAAAGTTTAATTTTCTTTTCGCCCAAAAATTTGAGCAAGAAAAAGAGCATTTTTAACTCTGGCTTTATTATTTTTTCTATTTCGATATAAAGTAAAATACATAAATAAACTTATTTTTTTAAAAAAAAATTCGGTGAATCTCGATGTCATTTCAGAATAGGATGGAGTAGAAAAATATTAATTTTCAGAATTTTAAATACTCTTCAAAATGATTAAGATCTTATTTAATTTTATCAAGAAAATTATTATGCAGGCCTGAAAATTTCGATCGTTGATGGCATAAAGGTTTAGAAATCTATTAGCAAAATCCCGAGGCTTAGGCAATATTCACCCGGCTAAAATATTAAGTTCACCGTTTTTAAAAATCGACTCAAATCGACCCGTTTAACAACACTATTCGTGATAAAGTCACAAATTTTCTTCCAATTTTGTGGCAAAATATTGTTTCAAATACTGCTTTTATAGTGTAAAATTAATAAAATCTTAAACTAAAATAGGGTATTTAAGTATGATCCTTATATTTTACATGTATAATTAAATTTCTTTGAGTTTGAAAACTAGAGTAAAAAAAAAGTTCTTCTTGGTTCGGGTTCATTTTAAAATAGGTTTTGTCGAGGGTTAGGTCCCCATAAATTTGAGGGCTCCTTCAGATTTTGGTACTGGTTTTAAACTCTCATTATAATATTGTAAATAATTTTTTTTCCCCAAGAATAATTAAAATTATAGAAATATTTGATACCTTACTTTTATTGATTTCTATGATGGTGTGATAAATCGATAGAAAAGTGTAATTACAAACTAATATGAGGACGATTTTTGGTAATTTAGTCTTTGCGAGATTTAATATTCGAATTCTGTAGTCTTTAAACCGAACATTTTTACGAAAGATATGAATTTTACAGGACATTTAAAGTTATTTTTCAATGAAACGATGTTATTTAATAACAAATTATCACTGCGTGTAAAATATGACATTTATTAAAAATATTTAATTTTTTTTTTGATAACATACTCATAAACAATAATTTCAAATCAATAAAAAAAAGAAGAAAGTTATAAAATTATAAAAAGCCATATCCCATTGCATAGACTCATGCTAATTCTTCCATAAATTTCATTAATATAATGTCACATCATTAATAACAATATTTTTTATAAGCAAATATACTATTTTCTATTTGATCAAAAAATATCGTCCATAAAGCTTCAAGCACAAATCAGAAAGTATTGCATAATTTTTTTTTATCAGATAAGATAAAGGTGCATTTACCCGTTTATTGAACTATATTTTTATTTATTGTATAAAGGTAATTAATTTATATTATATTTTTATTTACAATTTTTTTAACATTGTTTTAATAAAAAGAAAAAATAAATCTATATATAAAATATTTTAAAAACTATATTGAAAAATCATTAAATCACATAATACTTTCTTGGTATGCATTAGATACTAGTAATACGTTGGAGAGTAGAATACCATAATTTAATTATTTATTGATTTGTGAATAAATTTTAAGCCATTTTTTTTTAAATTTAACATCTACCAAATTTCTAATATATTTGATACAGTAATTATTATTTATAGTTCAAACAAGCTCCGGTAATAAAAAAATATTTAATATCAAAATGTGATAAATGTGATAAATTCGTAACTAGTTTATAATAGTGATCTATATTGGGCCTAATTTTAAGCCAACCCCGAATTTTTTTTTAAAAAAATTTTTCCGGCCAGAATTTTTTAAAATATATTCTCCGGCCCATCTCGATCCTGAACAAATTTTTTTATCCCGAAAAGCCCGACCCCATATAAAAATTATTTATTCACCCCACCGGGCACGAATTTACTTAAATATAGAAAAATTTTATTTTTTATTTATTTTTAAAAAAAATATTCTACAAATAAAAAATATTAGCGCCTTGTTTCCCAGAATTTTAAAATATATCAATTTGACAAAATCTAATGATATCATATTTAAAAATTTAAGCCCGACCCGAAATTTTTTAAAAAATATTAGGCCCGACCATGCCCGAACCGAAATTATTTTTAAAAAATAGCGTGATTTGTCAATCTCTAGTTTATAATATGGAAATATATTTTACAATATTTATCCATTAATTCTGTACAACCCTTATAAAATTGTTTCCTTAGAACTAAGCACATTTTTCAAATAAGTGTGACAAGAAAAATGGGAGAAGAAAATAAAAACAAGTTTTGGTGCAGAATTTGACGCTGAGTTCGAATCCGTTTTTCAAATTTTCCCTACACGTCAAGTTTTAAAAATATTACCGTATA